CGACAAAATTGCGTAGGACAAAGAGGTGGGGACCCTTTGACTACTGCCTTTCCACTGCCAGTTTTCGCCGATAGAACTGTTCTAAAGTTGACTTAAGAGGGAAGTCGCGAAGAAGGCGTACCCAAGCATCGAGGTCGAGCAGCCGATGAACCTTACGCTCCAGGTAGAATACATATCCGCGATGAACAATAAGGGAACACGCATGGATAATCCTCGTCATTTCTCCATATTTCAGACGATGAAGGAGGCTGAAAGAGGCTGAAAAGAAATAATGAGACAAAAAAGAAACGTATACACTAATGACTGAACTTCAAAAATAAAGCCCCTATAAAAAACCTCTTAGCAGCAGTCTTCCCCAAATCCGCATGTAGCACGCAATTGTAGCGACAGATCAGCTAGCTATTGATTTGCATTTTGTAATAACCCTATAATGCTTGCTGTCCAAACTTGGGCATACCTATGGGTTTATTCATAGCGCAAAAAAGCAGCTATTCAACGTACATTACTGGATCTTCTCGTTTTCGCCGCCTCTGTTCATCTAATTTGACCATCAACATTACTCCTGATGTGAACTGCTGCTCTCAACAAAATGGATACATTGCTCCGTAAAACCACCAAAAAAATATACAGTTTTGAGTAATCGCTTATTTGCTTGAAAAGCAGTTATTTGAAAAGATGGAATTAAATGAAAGTAGAACCAAAGCAACTAACCGTCTAAAAAATATAAGGGGAAACGGAAGAGTACCCAAAACACCGTTGGATAGTGAATTGTACGGTCTACACTTTTATATATGATTATGTGCAACATTCAGAAAAACCGTCTTGTAAGCTCAGTGAAGTACCGTGACGGTAAAATTATACTGAAAACTAACTCCTTCCAACTAGATCCATTTACAGCCAGCGCTATAAAAATCCAATTTCAAAAACACTTCTGGGTCATCCTCCACGCAACAGAAACTCTATTTAACTTGGAGGCCAGTCACTGCATTTCCCATCTTGGTATACCATTAAATTCCTGCTTAAATACGCTTCTACAGTCGTAGTAATTAGCCTTCATAGTTTGCAGTGCCAACCAAAGAGTCTCTAAACTTTTCTCTTTTGAACTCTGTGGTCTGAAACTTTCCACCGCCTTAGATCATTTTTGATGACCATCTTTCATCGCGGTTATGCCGATGCCAAACTCCTATTGTTGAAGCTCGTGAAAAAAAAAAAAAAAAAACAAACATTATGATCTTGAATTGACGATATCTTTGCAGAAATGATTCTTGTACGTGATGCGCTCACTTATTAATCTCTATATTGCCCCAGCAAATTTTACAATGTCATGACGAGAAAAAAAAGCACTTAATCCAAAAAAGCACACGTGATTATCAAAAAGAGACAAGAATATGAGGTAACCAAAACTACTTAAAAACAGGACTCAAAATCAACAAACAGGCAGAGAAAAATCAAATAGTCTTGAACACAAAAGCTTTATTTTAGAGCTTTGATCGTGACCTATCTACTGACGACAGCTTAAGATAATTGAAAAAAAAAAATGAAGAAAATTTGAACGGAGAAGATAAGGAAGCTAAACGAGAATTTCGAGAAACTTGAATATGACAATCAAAAAAGTTGACTACTAAAGACACAGATGTCCTTTCCATAGCTCTTGCTCTCGGTCTCTTCCTGAGTCATCTCAGTCCCTCTCCCAAGGCCTCCATCTGAAAAGCGATTAGTAATCTCAACTTATTGCCTATGGTGCCGTTTCGCGCACACCAGCAACAGGCCAACAGGAATGCTCCTTATTATTAATAAGGGAAGAAATTAGAATAATAGGCAGGCTAGTTAAAAATGTTCCTTAGTTACATTTTCATGTAAATTAGGTTTTTTCATTGTTGGTTTCCTGACAATTAACTGAGCAAAGTTCCATAAAACGAATTTTTTTCTGCTGTTTCGCGATCATCACGTAGAAATTTTACAAAACTGAAAAATTAAATGCCTAACAAAAGGACAATGGGAAAACCCAAAAAACTTGGCGAAAGTTTTCGTTGTATTAACTAATAAGAACAGTCACAAAGTACTGCACAAAATGAAGCTATCTATAGTCTGTTGCTAAGTGGAATGAAAAGTAACAATAGTCAAGTCGAATGACGAAAATAACATGTGCTGTACATGTACAACGGATTCAAGTTAGCTCGTCGATAGGGTGGAGAATTTAGCACCGATAAACCCAATCAACACTACCTCTGTTGCGGGATACATCTCATTTCCGTGACTAGCAAGCGCTACAAAAATGGCTTTGCGCTACAGTTTCGCTGCCCAGACTAGCGCATCCGCAGAGAAATTTTGCGATTGCGACAGCCGATACGCCCAGCCTGCAGTATGTGGTCGATGCGTGAACTGTTGAATGTTTCCTTGTTCCAGAAAACAGGCTTTAAAATTCATATGTCGTGTAAGAACGAATTTTAAAAACTTTATTCCCCACTGTGATGGCAATTCTTTTGCCGCAAAATAAAATCACCGTTTATACAACCAATTTATTTTGCCGCCACTTCGTCTGATATTTCGGACTTTGACCGAACTTTACGAACTTGAATACGAAATTGCGGTAAAAACAAAAGCTGTTGACGAAGTCCTTCACTTGACCGCTTCAGTTTTTCATCTTCAGTTTCAAAATTCACACATACTCAGGGTGGATTGATAACGTTATTGAATCGCGGAAAGGTTACTTTACTGTTACTTGTTGGTACAGGTAACAGATATGCCTAGTTGGAACGTTGGTTATGATTTGTTTTCAACGGCTTTTATTGGTCTCAAAAGAACGGTTTCTTTAAAAAATTACTGTTTAGGTGAACCTTTATTTCCTATAAGTTTTTCGTCACTTCTTACTTTCGGTAACTTTGAAGGATTTTGATTTGTGTCCTTGTTTTGGTCTAGCGGCAGCGTATAACTTTAAAGGATGAGTAGATGAGGAATTTTTGATGGTTTTTTTTCTCTGATTGTTTTAGGTCAAAATGAGTCAACCCTCGGTGATCAACGATGAATGGGTGTTGTCTTTCCTTGACCAGCAGAATAAGTGGGATTCGCGCAGTGACGGTGAGATAAATGTGGTGTTTTAAAAGAACATATAAGGCTTGTGCAACATTTTACCTTATAACTATGAAAGATTTTTTTAGCTGAAAGTGTGTCCCAGGCTATTGAAGCGGCCGATGCTATTGACGTCCTTGAATTTCGTGGGAACACTTTAGGAATTGAAGCTGGGAAACGGATCGCTGAGGCGTTGGAAAAACGTCCTGAACTGAAAGTAACATTTTTTGTAAATATTAGGAGATTTTAACAGATTTCTCATCAGTTCTGGGAAGTAAAAAAAATAACGAAATTTGGCTTGTGTAACCTAAATGCAGTTGACATTGTTAAAGAAGTGGTGATATTTCGTTAGTTTGTAATACTGCTACAGTAGTGTGATTAAAACAGTTTTTGCTTCCATCTCTTATGATTTTTTTTTGGTGTTGTTAAGAGATTGCTTCTGGTAGTATGTGTACTTGTTTCTATTTAGCAAAACCTTATTTATTTTGTAATCTTAGTGGAAGAAATACTTGAACACATTTTCGTTAAAACTAAAATTTCATAAAGACAGTTTGCAGATCGTCAGCATTTTTGATTAAAAGAATTATGAATAAAACAGGTTTTTTAATTAAAACTTTGTGTGCAAAAAATAGTTGGGATTACAACGAAGTCAGCTTTAGGTTTTGAAAAAAACGTTGTTACATTTGGAAAAATTGGTTATCTGTTTTGGAGGTTTAATAGAAATTAAATTTGGTGGAAGTGCTGGTATTTTTTTTTTTCGTTGGTTTTGAAGTTAGGAATAGCATACTGCTTTTTTCAGCCGAAATCAAGTAAATTTTGATGCATTATTTGTCAGTTCGAAATCTGATTTTCAGAGGGCGCTGTGGAGCGACTTGTTCACTGGGAGAATGAAGAATGAAATACCTCCTGTTTTGGTATTATTCTTTGCGAAATTGTTTACAAAACCGAGACGCCTGACTTTCTGAAGACCACTAGTCCAGATCACAACTAGTGGACGACTTGAGTTATGAAAAACATTATTGTTTTTTTTTTGCAGCGCAGTCTTTGTGATGCCATGATATCCAGTTCTGCGCGTTTAGTAGAATTAGATCTTTCTGATAATGCATTCGGACCTATTGGAGCGGAAGGTATTGAACGTTTTTTGCAAAGTTCCTCAGCTTATTCACTTCAGGTGCTGAAGTTGAACAATAACGGATTGGGTGCAGGTGGCAAAGTATGATTTTTTTATCAGTATTCGATCAACTTTGTGTCAAATAATATCTTTTCTGTTGTTTAGGTTATAGCTCGAGCGCTAAAAAATTGTTGTGAAAATGCTCAGAGAGACGGACAGAAGTTTTGTTTACGATCTTTTATAGCTGGTAGAAACCGACTAGAAGTACCTGGGGCAGTTGCACTTGCAGAGGCTTTTAAGGTAGCTATTTCATTGCCTTGTTAAAAATTGGTAAACTTTCTGATTTCTGTGTAGATCGTTACGCAGGTAAAAAGTGACAGGAAAGACATTAATTGTAACCAATTTTTCATATTGGTAAAGGGCTTAGTTCGTACAAGAGTTTGTTTTATTTTTATTGATATTACATTTTACACTGCATCATTCAGGCAATTGGTACACTCGAGGAAATTAACATGCATCAGAATGGTATACATGCAAAAGGAATTGAAGCACTTGCAGACTCGTTTAGCAACAACCTTGGCTTGAGGATAATTAATCTAAGTGACAATACGTTTACTACCGTGGGCGCTAAAGCCATAGCTAAGGTTGAACGTATTTCTTTTGCTAGCAAAATGCTTGGTTGTTCAATTGACATTATTGAAATCGCAACTACCTGTTTCTAGTTCTATCCTTAGTGCCTTCGTTTTTATAGGCATCACTTCACAAAATTTTTTTTAATAGGTTCTACCACTTCTAACTTCTTTGGAAAGTTTGCATTTTGGCGATTGCTTATGCCGAAGTACAGGGACTATTGCTCTTATAGAAAGTATACACCATACTACGCATTCCAAACTGAAAGTAGGAGGTTATTTTTAGTTTTTTTTTTTTCCTTTTTGTAGTGAGGTTATGTGTGTCAGTCAAATTCGTTGTTTAGGAGGTGAATTTATCGGGCAATGAGTTGGGTATTATTGCTGTAGAGCGGATCCTAGATAAGTTAGGAACAGGTTTTCAACTTGATTCGTTAATACTGCATACGAACAATCTCGGCGAAAAGTTTAGTACGATGAAGTCACGGTGGACGACCCACTCCTACGTTGACTTGGGCTCAGAAAGGTTTCAAATCACTGATGTCATTTCTTGAGTGTTTTTTGCTAAAGCTTTGTAGGCTTGAATCGTGAATTTTTTGGCCTTGAAGTGATATGGTGAGATGAATTCGTTTTTTGTGCATATCATATAGCTGCGTACCTCTAGTGATGATCAAGGGTCTCTGGATAACGATGAGGAAGAAGAAGTTGCATCAGAGGAGTCAGGTAATGAGGGAGATGATGAGCACACTGAAGATACAGAAAGCTTTGTGAAAACGGAACGTCATCGTCCAACATTGCCAGGTGTAACTGTGGTACAGTTTGCTTTCATTAATTTTTTAATTTCTCTTTAACATATACACTAAATTTTTTTTTTTTGTTTCGTAGTGAACTGTTTCTAGGAGGATGTTATTGCATTTATCCGCAGTCCCACTCACGAACTTTTATTAAATTTTATGGCTAAGCAAAGCGCGTTTGCTGCGATTATTCGGGTAAGATTAGCTTTGATTTTTTTATTTGGGCGTAATTTTTTTGTATACTGAATTAATCACTTTAAGCTTTAGGATGAGCTGGACACTAGGACGCACGACCTCACTGCAGCTTTTTTGTACTCTTTAGGGACGTTGGCTTCAGTCAATGAAACTGATTTTCATGTTCATATGAATATTGTCACCATTGCCGGTATGGTTTTGACAAGTCGGCTTTGTTGGTCAGTTATACTTGTTAGAGTGGTGAGGGTGTCTTTTTTAGAAGTTCTGAAGATAATAATTTTGGTGAATTTTAACCGAAAATAATGTTTTGCTTTACTAGAATCTATAGTCAAAATTGCTCAAGATGTAAAACGATGGCCGCTTTCGACTGTCGATCAAATTTTCAATACTGTATTGGCTTACGGAACTGTCACTGAGGTATAGGTTTTTTAATTCACTTTTGTATATTTTGAGACTAGTTGCTTTATCTCTTGAATGTTTTAACTCCTAAGCTTGTTAATCTTTTCAATTTATCTTTTTTCTTGCAGAGGGAGACCGGACAATCGTTTTATGGTGACGTTAAAGGTCTGATTTTTCTGTTCAGTGCACTGCTGAAAAAGGGTTATTTGAAAACATTTCTACCGTGGCTTAAGTTTGCTTTGTAAGTGTTTTATGCGCCTTTCACTTTTTTTAGAAGCAGTTTTTTATCTCTTGAAAGGGATTATACTTTATCATTTTCTTCAACCTGAATCTTTGCTTTAGTAGTGGTATTGTGAAAACGAAACATCCGGAGCTTGCGAATGAAATTGATAAATTTTCCTCTGAATTGACAAATATTTACAAAGTTGCCTAAGTTGCAACGCATGCATCCTTCACCTGTTTTACTAATTTCAAATTGCTTACATTTGTTGTGTCGCCATTCTGAGTCATGTGGAATTATCAGCTTGCAATTACGTTTTCATTGATAGGTTGCCTAGTTTTTAATTTTGTGAGCATGAGCGGGTTTGACAAGATATCGCTTTTCAAATTTTTTGCTGTGTATAATATTGCCTTTACTGCATCTGTTCTTATTCTACATTTGAAATGAGTTTCAGTTTTTTTTATTTTAGTGATGTTTTATTGCGTGGTTTTTTGAACACCTATTATATTTAGCTGTAGCGGCAGCTTTAGCTTAAACTCTGTTGTAATGATTTTTGAAAATGATGTAATGTAAAATCGGTCTTCAAAGTTTTGAAGTTATTCTGCTTTGTTAAGACAATTTTTTGAATCTAAATTTATGAAAGCTTTGTGACTTTTGAGCCTAGTCAGTATCATTTGTTTCTCTGGGAATGACAGCTTTTTTTGTGACGAGTATTGTTACAGGCGTCGAGAATAAACTTTCATCTGTTTTTGCAGACATGTGAATTTTGGTACTGCATGCGCATTTTTGGTTTAGAGATTTCACTCTGTATACTGCCTTAAAGCAAGTAATTTTAAGTGACTGCTTAAAGCACGAGTTCCTAACTTTGTGATTTCATTTTCTGCTGCTCAGTATGGCATTTGGGCTGTTATGTTTGTGAAGCTAGATGTTAGCAAAAAGTCGGATCTATTGGGTGCAGAGACTGCTTTGAGAGTAACACGTCGATCTGCTTCAGCGCCATTTCGAAGCTTTCGTCTGAGTAACCAAGCACATATATTTAGTCAACTTTCTCGTTCTTTCTCGTCTGGCCAGTGGGCAGCGGTGCGCTGATGCGGATTGAGTGTTGATTGACTTGTAAAAGGTATTTTTGCTAGCTGTGCGTCATTTCTTTGTTTGGCGCCCTGGGATGAGAGCTGCTTGAGTTTTTTCAAGAAGGAATGGAGAATTTTTTATTGAAGAATCGCAAAATTTTTAGGGAGCTTAGTTTTTTGAATCTGACTCAAAGTTACTATAGACAAAAAAAGGAGCTACGTGATGGTGTACAAACTTGTACTGCGTATATCGTATACCGCTCCTGAAGGTTTGCAAGAAAATTTTCATTGAGAGGAACTGTGAATTTACGGCACCTGAGCTACTGACAGTAGGTATTACTTGCTGGAGTTATTTAGCTGGTAGAGGAGCACCTGGTACGTTATCTCAAATATCCCAAATACCGAAGGGTTAGAGGTGTGTTTATGCTCTACAGCTTTGAATAAACAGTGGTTTACATATGTTTGTGTAAGGAGGTTGCCAGTTTAAGAAGACAATGCAGGTTTCTTAACACCGTATTAAGTTTAGACAACTTGAGGCGCAGTTTTTATGAAAGTCTCATTGAGCGTAAGACGATTTTGAATGAATACTTCTCTCTTCGTGCGTCAATGATTATCCCACCACTAACATGATTAAACGAAGCGTCTTGCGATTCAGTAAGCTAATCAAAGTAGCACAGGTATAGTGCAGAACTGCTGGTGTCCTACGCGGAAGTCCAAAGGAAAAGTCCAAACTCATAACTTCTACATGCGAATGAATCGTACTTTGGGGCTTTATGCGAAAAATCTATGTTATTGAAAGCGTTTAGTTTTTGAGACGCGATTGGTCATCCATTACTCAGTGGATTAACTTAGGATGAATCAATTTTAATTTTCATCTACTTCCTGATATTAATTTCTTACAGCTCTTTCAACGATACATTTTTAAAGGCTTCCCTGTGCGAATTCCACTGCTGCATTGTGTAAAATGTATTTATTGTAACTGACCCCCTTACTTCCTTATTAAACGGACTTTATCGGCATTGACTGCCGCGGTAGAGTACTATAAACCTAGGAGCTGGTTCTAAATTTTTATCGGACTTGGGAATGAAGGAACTTCTCGTTATTTTTTTTT